TAAAAGGTAGCCTACCGGTAATTTTCCAAAAACCAGCATAATTTTGAGCATGATTTGGCAATAATAGTAGCATAATATGCTACTTTTACTGGAACAATCCATAGGGGCCTACTAATGTTAGCTTGTACCTCCGTTGTTCTATCGTATCTTAGGGTTTGTAACACGTATCTCAGGCTAGTTTTGTCTTACTTTAACGAGTTAATTTTTAATAAGCGTGTGTTTGTATTCCCTATTTCAGTTTTTGCACTCTTATAGACTTCGCTACGTTTAGAAGTTTGACAGGTGGCTACGATTTGTTCGTAAATGATGATGATGTTATTGAGCGTTTCGAAATGAACGGGGAGGGAAAGAAGCTGTCTTGGCTTGTTAAAGACTTAACTATTGGCCGTTTTCTTTCCTAAGTTTTCTGACTCTATAACCTTTGGCGTTGAACACCACTAAAATCTCATAAAACCTTTGATCGAACTGAACGAAGACATTTTAATATTTTTGACTTGGGGGAATTTTAAGATAGAATTGCATTGCCACACTTAAATGAACATTTTACCGGATCATTCCCTCCCGGGTCGATACTGATTTACGAATATGACTTTATCTGTTTGATGAGTAGATGGTAAAGTATTTTTGTTTGTAGAGATCAACGGATGGGATACACAAAATTAGCATCTGTCCTGTGAGTAAATATTAAGTCGTATAGCCATCGTTGAACGAGATTCAGTACATATGGGGAGCCGTTTGTGCCAAAAATATCAATCGCTAGGAATAAAACTCAATCTTTAGTGCCAAAATATTAATCGCTAGAGCTAACAACAAATCGTGATCGTAAATCAATTTAGCTTCCGTTCAAAAATGGTCAGTCGTTAGTGGTGGACCTCAATGGTTTGTGTTATTGGGCCAAACGTCGTCATAAGACTCCAATTAAAATCGCTAATTATAAATCACTGGTGTTCCGAGGCAGATCGATAACCAAATATCAGTCATAGGTTTAATTATCAGTCGATAGTGTAAAACCTTTATGGCTTGTGTCACTTTCAAAATACAGCTATTGTAACGATGACAATCGTCTGTGACACCACCGATCGTTTGTGATAACTAGTTGGAAATCGCTACCGCAAAACCTCAATCGATAGTGCTAGTATCGATTTGTTATCGTTTCTAACTTAAACCAGTCTTCCGCTTGTTGAGAAAACATGTACCATTCAAATCTTGTTTACTTTCTTGAAATCTGATAAGGGATATTGAAATCCTAGAACATATTTTGAATAGTAATTGTTTTTAATAAATCATTATTGGAAAACTGTTGCAAATCGGAAAAACAAATATAAATACTGATCAGATCGCTGTTTCCACATACAATTTATCATGAAAACCAAAAATAATTTGCGATCCAAGATTCTTAAAGAGTTGTTGTTTGTTGGCTGCAATCACCATTTCCGACCACTAACAATATGCGCGAGGACCGTCTCAAATGGTAGGGATGCAATCGACGGCAACTTGAACCCGTCTCCTGCTGATCTTCCAAATATGAGCCAATTCCCACTTTCCCATTTTCCCACCATTTTAATGAAGACTCAAAACAAACACATGGAAAATGGTGAACAAACAGTGATATAATATGATTACTAGATTCAGTTTGTGTCGGAAATGCCGTTATTCATAACTTTGAAGCGCAGGACATTACCACAGAAATAGTTCATACCCTATCTGCTAGGAAGGCGTTCTCTTTGCCGAAATAGCAGCGCAAGAATTGGGAAGCTAACATTTTTAGTTCGATTCTTTGTCAATAAATGCAACCTCGGCAGATGGCTTCTTCTGTAAGATATGGGGAGCCAAAAAAACTCAAAAAAAGGGAATACTGAGTGAGACAATTGTGATAAGTGACCGTTTTGCAGCCTAATTAGCTATATCGCGGAGCCTATTCTTGTGTGATAAAAAATCCACGTTCAACAAACAGACGAATTTAAAAATCACAAGATTGCATCTCTTTCTAAAGCTTCTAAGAAGTAAAACTTAATTGCATGAGATGAAAACTATATGCCAAATATAAGTATAAAGGGAAAAAAATTAGTGACTGGCAAGAGACAATGAATGTATTATTTTTATTGGGAAAGTCTTAGAGTATTATCTGGATTGTTTACTTTAACACTGTACCACGCTCTCACAAGTATGCCACATTTCATAAGATAATATCTTGGGTGGATATAAAAATCTGGGTTAATGTATTTCCCTTCTTCTTCTTCTTCTTTTTTTTATGAGTGTTGATAAACGAGGAAGATGAATGCCACTGAAGATGATACGAATTAAAGGCAACGTGTATGTCTCCAATCCAAAATAGACAACAGATGATATTTGGAACAGTTTAAACGCACTTAAAAGTTGAAGAGAATGCTCTAACAAAATATATCAGGTGGTATACCTACCTGATTAAATATAAAAACTGAATATAGAGGGAAAAAAATGTGAATGCAGTGAGGAATGTCCAAAGCCTTTGGTTTGTTCC